TTTCCTCTCCGCCATTTCTACTGCTACTCCTAACTTTCTGTCTCATTTAAGACAGTTTTACTTACACGATACACAGGGCCAAAAATTGGTGGAAAGGTGGCACAATGATGACAAGTTCAAAGTCAAGTTCACATACTTGAATGTGTTGTTATACTTTAATTCCCGCATTCATGTCCCTCGTGAGTCCAATCTGCAACACCTACTTCTTTCCGAGTTTCATGACACTCCGGTGGCTGGCCACTCCGGCGTTAAGGCCACGGTTGCACGCTTGACTTCCACCTTCCACTGGGCTGGTCTATACAAAGATGCCAAGACCTATGTCAGAAACTGTCACACTTGCCAACAATCAAAGTACTCTACTGCTAAGCTCTCAGGCTTACTCCAACCACTCCCTACACCTACTCAGGTGTGGGAGGACATTGCTATGGACTTCATTACTCACTTGCCCAGCTCTAATGGATTCACTACTATATGGGTGATCATTGATCGGTTCACTAAGTTCGCCCATTTCTTGCCCTTACCCACCCATTATACTGCCTCACTGTTGGCCGCAAAGTTTGTCTCTGAAATATGCAAGCTTCATGGTACTCCAAAAACAATAATATCAGACAGAGACAGGGTGTTTGTTAGCAAGTTTTGGAAGGAGACCTTTTGGCTCTTGGGCACTCAGCTAGCGTTCAGCACCGCTTACCATCCTCAAACCGATGGTCAATCCGAAGTCTTTAATCATTGTCTGGAGACTTATCTCCGTTGTTTTGTGGCGGAAGAGCCCCATCTGTGGTCAAAAGTTCTTCATTTAGCCGAATTTTGGTATAATACAAGCTTCCATTCTTCGATTCAGATGTCGCCTTTTCAAGCTCTCTATGGCCGCCCTCCACCTCCGGTGTTAGATCTCCTTCCAGGCTCCACTGCAATTGCTTCTATTGAAGAACACCTGCTTCACAGACAAAAGCTTTTGCGTCAGTTGAAGGACAATCTTGCTCGTGCACAACACCGGATGAAGCAGCAAGCCGATGCTCACCGACAAGACACGGTTTTCTCTGAAGGGGATTGAGTTTACCTCAAACTCACACCATACCGCCAAGTTTCGATTCAACGGCTATCCTCTCAGAAGCTTGCTCGCCGTTTCTTTGGGCCTTTCAGGGTGCTCCGCCGACTCGGTAAGGTCGCTTATGAGCTTCAACTCCCTCCAGACTTGAGGATCCACCCTGTCTTCCACGTCTCCGTCCTCAAACGTTGTCATGGAGTTCCCCCTTTCGAGCAGCGTCCTCTACCTCCTTCGACACTGGGTCCTCATCCGCTGCTCACCCCAGCCAAACTTCTCGGGTTTCGCACCGTCATCTCTAATGGTTCTCCTCTACGACAGGTCCTAGTTCAGTGGACAACACAATCTGAAAGTGAAGCCACTTGGGAGTCTTTACAACCACTCAAGGCGACTTATCCTGATCTGGACCTTGAGGACAAGGTCCTTCTTGACGAGCCAAGTATTGATACTGAACCACCAATCGAAGAAGAAATTATTGGGTCAAGTGCTATTGAAGGAGCAAACAAGCCCAAAAGGATCAGGAAAGCCCCAAATTGGATGACCGAGTTTGTTACTAAATAGATTTATTTATTTTAATAGTTATTTCCATTTCATTTGTTTTGGGCCCACTTAACTCAGAATATTTAAGACTGATTACGATGGAAACGAGGGGAGGAAAAAAAGTGGTGATACAATCATTTAAATTTTGTTATTCTCTAAAGACCTATCCCATCTCGAAAAGGGATATTTATTTACCTACTTTTTCACGTATCAGTATTCTATTGATTAATTTGGCTAGGAATATACTATAAGTATCTTGACATTCCATAGCAACTTGAATTTAGACCGATCTATATGTTTACGTAGGGACTAGATTTGCTTCAAATCATCAAATCAGAAATCTAATGATATGCTGAAAATTATCAAAAGTTGCAGTTGGATTAAAGCAAGTTTTTGAGCACATGAGTCTAATGGTATGTTTAAAATCCACGTTCTTGTTTATTTGGTATTGTATTAGGTTATGTCATATCTTGTTGCACATTTTCCGATTCTGTATTTTTGTTCTACCCATATTCACCAACACATATCCAACCCTACCCATCCATCCACACACATGCACGTGTATAGTTTTAATAAAAATATTATTAACATTAATGCATCACAATAATACTATAGATCTCAATTAGGTTAACATAGAAATCATTTATAATCATGTCAATAAAAAGTATATTTTTAGTAAAAGAAAAAACATGAACAAGACAGAAACCAAAATTCATAAAATTTAAAATATTTAAAATAATCAAATTTTTTATTTTTAATAACGTTCCACAAAAATTAAAATTATGTTTTGGTTGGAAAAGAAAAACTTTGAACTGTGCTGAGTATGATAAAAAAATTGGTTAGAGGATAGAAACCGCGTCTCTCACCAAATATTTCAAAAATATCTATAAGTATTTATAAATATGATGTAATCATTAAAATATTGAAATAATATGATTATATATATATATATATATATATATATATATATATATATAAATATGAATCATTTATATAATATGAATGATAAATTACACTTAATTAACTTGTGTATTATGTTTGAGTATATTGATGAGTTATATATAATTTAAAATTTAAAGTTAAAAATAATTTATATATATTATTATTTATTAATTTATTAAAATATTAAAATTATTAAAATTATTAAAATTTTAAATTAGATGATAAATAATGATGAATCTAAAACAATATTATTATGATTGAAATGAGATCGAGATAATAATTTTTATTAAGAAAATAAAAAATTATTTTACTAAGAGAAAATTTTTTAGAATATTAAGTCTTAAAAATATGAATTAGAAGAAATTTGTTAAAAACTCTTTTTTTATTCATATATATATATATATATATATATATATATATATATATATATATATATATATATATATATATACTTTAACTCATTAAAACACTTTTTACTGATAGAAACATTAATCCTAAATATATAATATATTAAGGGGATTGATGTTAGAAAATTAGCTACAAATAAAAGAAAAAAATATTAGAGTTTTAGGTCACCTTCACACCTTAATTTTTAATTAATAAGAAATTTGTTTAATAATATTTTAAAAAAATCTAGGTCAATCATAATTTATTTATTTATTTTATTTCATAATTTATTAAATTTTTTAATAATAAAATTGTAATAAAAATATTAAGTTTTACAATAACTAATATTTAATAAAGAATTAGAACGTTTTTATCATAATAAATAATTATTTAATAAGAAATTCACTACAAATACTAACTTATTATTATCAGTATAATAACCTATTTATTAGTAGTATACATCATATAACGTATATAATTACTGATAATGAAAGGAATTATAATTTGCGCTTTCATATATTAGCTAAAACATTATATTTATTTAGTAGAGATGATGTTCAATTCGGTACCATAATAAACAAATTTGAAGAGGAAATAGAAATCACTTTTAAGTTTGGTTGATTTTATGAAAAAATCTGAGGCAGTGATATTTATTTCACTTAGAATGTGTGCATGATGTAGTGATTAATCATAAGCTTTTATCTGAATTTAAATAAAAATGGAGAATTTCATGTTAATATTTTTCTGGCCTCTTTAATAGGAAAAAAAATGGTAATACATTCTATTCATCCAAATGAAAGGAGAATATATGCTTTCTTCTTTGACGATAAAAGGAAGATTCGCGCCCAAAATGTGCAAAATTAAATACATCGTCCATGCCACACAACAAATGTTTAATATAATATTTTATTATTTCTCAATTCCCATCTTATTGAAAATTGTCACATTTTGCATAGTTGGTCCCACCATTAATTGATAAACTTTGACTAGACTTCACTTAACAAGGCATTCAACCCAAATACCGATCCATGATTCCCAAATGGATAGTAAAATTGATATGAGACAACTCAAATCTACATGATTAAGACCCTCCAATGCCTTCTATTCCTCTCCCTCATACTTTTTATTATTCCAAATCTAAATTCATTTGTAATTTGGCAACTGTCCATTCATCTCTATACTACTATAAATCAACCCTTATCATCTCACCAAATACCATTTTAGTTAACTTACAATGCCATTAGGGTAAAAGATTCCAATTTCTAAAATATCACATTTTCCCTCAACATACACCTCTTCTACCTTACATAAATAAATTATTGATACCATTCTGTCAATTACTTCTTCAACACAATAAGTGTTATGGTAATTCATTCAATCTCTCTTCTATTTTTACATTTTCTACAACTTACAAAAATTCCTCTTAATTATACTATGAATTTACTACCTTCAAGTCCAATTTTTTTATTTTTGAAAATGAAAAAAAAATTCTTATTCTAATTTAATCTCATTATATAAACAATAATTATTCTAGTTGTCTCCATATCAAATCAATACATAAAATTAGAATCCCTTTATTTTATAAATAGAATATAAAAAAATCTATTACATTAAGAATTTGAATGATAAAATAAAATGTTTTTTTCATATTAAAAATGTTTGTAATAAAAAATCTAATAAATATTGAATCACATGGAATAATTTTTTAAAATAAATTATATTTTATTTATTAATTTTTTTAATAATTTGCATGATTGTGTTTTAATGGTTTTTTTTTATATTATTTTACCAATATTTTTTATTTTGTTTTATTTAATACTTTAATATTATCTTAAAAAAAATATCATTGAAATATCGAACCTTCGATTTTTTACTATTTGTATAGCCATTTAATTGAAGTTTATATAAAAAACAAGGGAATATAGGTAATGTTTAAGAAATATATATAAGGGATTTTATGTAATTAATATATGTAACAAAGATTTTTCTTTTTTTATATATATATTGTATTGGATAATTTTTTTAGTCTTAGGTGTGTTATACTTATAATAAAAAGGTTTTACTAATAGAATTATTTATGTTTAAGGAAAATTGAGAGTGGTGTGTAATTAATTTTTATTTTTATTTTTATATAACGTGGAACTCTAATTATGATAATAAAAAAAAAAACTCCATTTGATTTAAAAACCATAAGAGAGATAAAATTTTGCTCCTTTCTATATGAGAGATACAGAAAGAAAATTGGTTAAGCATACATTATCTAGGGATGTTTTTGGTGAAGACAAGGAAACCAAATAGTGGACACAATTGGTTATACGAGTTGGGTTAGATTTGAAATTACATGAAAAGTGAGAGAGAGATGTGGTTGTTTTCTTAACTGTCTGAACACAACTCGAACAACAAACTCAGGCAACTTTTTGTTCTTTTTTGTTTTGGAAAGATATAATTAATTAAAGGATTTGTTTTAAGTGGATGGACTCTTGCTGAATACTAATACGATTAGTGGTTATATGCTTTTGTGATTTAACGAAGCAAAGGAAGGGGCCATCACTTTCGGCTTGTTGTGTTTGAAAAGGTAGAAGAAGTGTGTGGGAAAAGTGGGTTGGGTTTAGAGTTGTAAGGGCCTGTTTGCTTCAGTTTCAAGCGTCCTTATGGGCTACAAATGAATATATTCCCCAAATGAATATATTCCTTCCCAAGGTGAAGTTATGGGCCCCATCTTTATGTCAAATTCCAATGCTTTTACAAACTCTCTCTCTCTCTCTCTCTCTCTCTCTCTCTCTCTCTCTCTCTCTATCCCCTCTTCACCCACCTCCTACTCTTTCAGGTGTCAAATGGATCATCATAACTCCTTCATATCATACATTTATATTTTAAACAAATTATTATTACCATTTGAAAAGCCATCCCAACTCCTCTCACCAGAAGGGGTAGTTATAGATAAAGAGTGGCTTGAATATTATTAATTTTGAAGTAATTAAATAATATATCGTTAATAAATAAATATAATAAAATAAAAAAATAAAAAATAAATTATAAATATTACGTGTAAATATATTTAGTGGTCGTTAAGTTTAAAAAAAAATCATAACTTGAAAAATTTATGAGATTTAAGGTTTAGGGTTTAGTGAATTATTCTAAATAATAAAAATATTTATCTTTTATTTATTAAGTGAATATTTTGGGTAGTTATAATACTCAATTAAATAGAATATTCAAATATTATTGAAATATTTTAATATTGTTGAGATATTGAGATATTATTGAGATATCATTCAAATATTTCGATACTTATAGTACTTAATTATTTTTAGAATAAGTTAAATATAATTATATATTTATTGAAATTCCCTTATTCATTCAATTATTATATTTAATGAAAATATTTTCATTATAATAATATATAATAAATATATTTCATTATATATAATACTATATTAAAAACAATAATTAAAGATAAGTAAATATAAATTATTACTTAAAATATCATCGAAAAGTTTTACTTTATTGACATGGATAGGAATTTCTTTTAAAGATGGACCTCTCCTACACAAACTTTTATTGTTATTTTTCTTTGTATTTTTCGACTTGATCATCAATTCAATCATCACGTTGGTTTTATCATAGTACTACAGTGTGTTAAATTTCTTCTTGGTTCATTAACTATAAATCCTTAAAACGATATAAATATTTATATAAAATAAGAACTAAATTAAATAACAATAAATAATAGAACTAAAATAAATAGAAAAGAATAAAATTATGATAAAAATTAATTAATGCTTAAAAACTTAAAAATATACTTTAACTAAAAATGAAATGTAAATAGTAGATCAACTTCCATAATACCCAATTAAATAATTGAGAAATAACAATACTCTAAAACTTAAGTTACTTTTATTTGAATTGAAATTGAGTTTATTTAGTAATTTTGGTTAACTGAATTATTGGAGTAATGAAAAGGAGAAGTCTTGTACACTACCAACAAATATGCATGAACTGACGAATGTATGGATGACAAGGAATGAGCATGTTGATAAACAAGTTCAACAAAATATTGTGAACGGAGAAACTCCATTTAGAGTTGAAGGTTGGTAACATAACAATTTTATCGCCCCAATTTTTCAACTTTGATTATATTTTCTATCACACGTTGAGTTGTGAAGTATAACAAATAGATTAAATAAATAATATGCATATAAATCTTAATGCTTACCATGACATGACAAAATAATAAAAGTTTAGAAGGGAATTAAATGTCCAACTACTATATTAATTGGAATATTAATTTAAATTTCAAATTAAAGATGAGAAAATGAAAGGATATTTGAAGTGATATTTACTTAGTAGAGATAATATCAATAAGATATGAGCTCAACTCAAGAATTAAAACTATTTTTAATCCAAAATCTTAAGGTATTATGTTATAAATATTTTCTTCTTATATATTGTTCAATCTTCTCATTCTTATTTAATGTAAGATTTAGTCTCACGTTTAAATTTTTCAATCGATAATAAATATTTTTACTAGAAAAAAGAGTATTTAAAAAAATATTAAAAGTAACCATATTTTTACATTTATCTTATGTAGATCTTGTGTAGGTGGATAGATAGAATTGGGTTTTTATGGAGTCCATCAACCTTTTATATTTTAGATTATAAATATTTATTCTGACTTATCATGCACTTATTCTTGGTCTTCTAAAGTCATAACTTAACGTAATCATTCATCAACTACTTATCTATTTATCAATTTTATTTCTCTCATTTATTCACACACACAACTATTGATGATCTTAAATCTATTTAGTGAAATTAAATCCGCCAAAGAGATTCATGCTAATACCAAAATGTTGTACCAATAAAACTTATCTAAAATAGAGGAGAATGAATATGTGTGACCACCATGAAGAGTAGCATAATGAAAACAATAAGGTGAGACACAAAGAGAATAAGAGAGAGAAAAAAAAAACATATGTTGTGTTAATATGTGTTAACATGATAGCGGTGAGATAAGGGAGAATAATGTGGATGAATATCCAATTATTTGAATAGATTAAATAGGTTTGGTTCTAGAGAAATACAAAGAAATGGAGATGAAAAATAAATACAAATAATATATGCATAAGCAAAATATAAAACCTAAAAAAATCATATAGCAAAGCAGAAATTACTATTTTACCCATAAATTAATCTATGAAATGTCATTTTTATTCTTCACCTACAACCATTGTCTCTAAAAACACACAAATCATCGAAATTAATTTTTTGGATTTTTGTTTATTTCACAATTATTATAATATTATATATGATCTTTTTATAAAAATCATACGTAAATAAATTATGTATTCATTATTATTTTTAAATTAATTTTAATTAAATATTTAAAATGACATAAATTTTATTTTTTAAATACTTTTATTTTTATTTTATAAAATTGTCTTTAGATTTTCTTTATTAATTTTCTTTTCATAAAACCATTATAATTTAAAAATTAACCATGGTTTATACTTTAAAAATATTTAATTCTCTTAACATTATTTATTAAGATAATTTTATTTTTTTATAATAATTTTTTAAATTTTTAAAATAATTATCTCATATTTAATCATATATTTCCAATTTTTATATAAACCATATAAAAAATATATACTGTAATTTTTTAAAATAATTTATACAATTTAATATTATTTATAAAAAATAAAATATAAATATGTCTATAAAATCTCATAAGTTTATTTTTAATGTATATATAATTAATTTTTATTTTTATTTATTTAATTAAATAATTATTTTATATTAAATCATATTTTAATTTTTATATATTATTATTAAATTTATATTAAAGATATTTTAATCGTTCACTAATTTATTCTATTATTTAATTTTTTTTTATCAATCTTATCAATTATAATTTCTTTTATTCTCTTTATTCTCTTTCTTTCAATCTAAACAATTCATCATTCTACCATTTTTCTCCTATTTTTTACTCCTTCAAATATATTCTTCAATCTAAATATAATATAATTGTGATGATAATTACAAAAGAAAGAGAGTAATTGAACAACTTCTTTTTTTACTTTTTTTTTTTTACCTCTTCAAATTTACTTCTCGGATAATGATAATTAAAAAAGAGAAAAGCAAATGAAAAGAAAGATCATGGAGAGAAAACGAAGAAAATAACATTAAATTAAATAATTCTAAAATAAACTAATTTCATATATAAATATTATAATATGAACGAAAGTCGTTGTTATAAATAAAATCTATGAAAATAATTATAATGTAAATAAGACTTGTAATGATAATTATAGTATAATAATTATTTTTCGTATATACGTCAATTATTATTTTAAAATCCTGATTGTATTGCATACAGGAACAAATATTCTATTATTGTAAAAAAAATTAATTTTTTTTACAAAAAATCATTATATTTTATTTTTTAATGATAATTTTCTAATAACTATTATCTAAATAAGTAGTGTTCATTTCTCTTCTCCTCTTCACTTGTTTTAAGTGAAACGTACGATGATGTTGCTGGGTTGATGAGTCACGTGTTTATATATAAGTCTATTTATTTAGCTTTTTCATAAACAAAAGAATTTAAATATAAATCCATTTATTTCACATACAGAATTCACCTAACCAACTTAAAATGCGGATTTCACGTACCAGAGTCTATGGTGAGGCTAGCTTTGCCTATAAAAAAAAAAAAGGGTAAAAGTTAGCAGAGTGTATATGAAACATAAATTAAGTGCACACCACATATTCTTTGTACACTAGTGGAAAAATAGCATTCTATAACGAGTTTTTATCACGGTCGTAATCCACTCGTCATAGTATGTAGTGCGGTGACAATTTTGTAATAAAATCATAAACTTTCTATGTCGGGTAAATTTTAACCGACATAGTAAGTGGAAAGTTCATTTTCTATGTCGGTTAAATATTACCCGACATAGAAAGTTCACTTTCTATGTCGGGTAACATTTAACCGACATAGAAAGTGAACTTTCTATGTCGGTTATAATTTACCCGACATAGAAAGTGTCTTTGATGACGGGTGTTAGGACAACCGACATAGTATCTTCTGTTTTACCACTTCACCCATAGCAGAGCTCCCTGTTCGCCTGTGTACGTTTCTCCCTACGCTCCATTTCATTTCATCAGTTCACCCATAGCAGAGCTCCCCGTTCGCCTGTGTACGTTTCTCCCTACACTCCATTTCATTTCATCGAGTTCATCCATAGCGAGCTCCCCGTTCGCTCGTGTACGTTTCTCCGCACCCACATTTGCTCGTCACGCCACCTGTCAGCGCCGTACGTCGTGCCTGCTTGCTGCTACTGTCGTTGGTGTCGGCGCCTGTGATACGTTTCTCCCCACCGGCTCGCACGTCACGCCACCTGCCACCTCTGTAGGTCTTCAAGAGGTAAGTTTTCGTGTTTGCTTTAGCCATTGTAGGTTTACTTGTATTGAATCTGGTAAGTAATAATGTTGTCAAGAGAGGGAAACATCACGGGTGCCTTTAGCTAATTTAGAGATGTATTGTAAGTAGTTTAGTCATTTGAATGTGTTTACGTAGGCATTCTTTCGTGATTTTGATTTTGAAAATTAGATTTGTATTATAATGTAGTTATTTTGAGAGTGGAGTTGGATTTCGTGTAGGCATTATAATGTAGTTATTTCGTGTTTTACGTAGCTAATTTGATTTTGAAAATTAGATTTGTAACAATGGATCGGAGTTGGATCAATTATAGACGAACAACAAATGAATATGAGAGTGGAGTAGAACAATTCCTTGAATTTGCTAAGATGAATGTTCGGATAATGATGGAAGATTCTATTGCCCTTGTGTTAAGCTGCTTGAATGAGCGAAGATTACCGATTGAAGTTATTCGGGAACATGTTCTTTGTGATGGTTTCCTAAAGAGTTACATAAAGTGGACATGACATGGTGAATTATTAAACATGCCAAGTGTAGAAGACAAAGAAGAAGTTGATCTAGAGATGGATGATCGAGTTGGAGGAAATGATTCGTGAGCTTGGACAAGATGCCTTCCAACATACACATGTGTATGAGAAGTTGTCCAATGATGCAAAAGAGCCTTTGTATACAAATTGTACTAAGTTCACACGATTGTCGGCGGTACTAAAATTGTTCAATGTGAAGGCAAAGAATGGGTGGATCGATAAAAGTTTCACGAGAATTGCTTGAGTTGTTGAGTGACATGCTCCACTGAAGGTAACACATTGCCAACCACGCAATTATGATGCTAAGAAGATATTGTGTCCAATGGGTATGGAGTACCACAAAATTCATGCATGTCCAGAATGATTGTGTGTTGTACAGGAAAGAATTTGAGAACTATCACGAATGTCCACAATGCGGGGAATCACGATACAAGAAGAAGGATGGTGATTACGACAATGATGTAATGAAGGGTACCCGAGCAAAAGTGTTATGGTATCTTCCCATTGTTCCAAGGTTGAAACGATTATTCACTAATGGAAATGATGCAAAACTCACTAGATGGCATGCGGATAGTCGTATTAAAGATGGTCGGTTGAGGCATCCGTGAGATGGATTGCAATGGAAAAAAATTGATTCCATCTTCCGAGAATTTTGGTAATGATCCAAGAAACATTAGGTTTGGACTTGCTACGAGATGGAATGAATCCATATGGAAATTTAAGCGATAAACATAGTTCATGGCCTGTGGTGTTAGTTATTTACAACTTACCTCCAGTGGTTGTGTATGAAACGTAAGTACTTGATGCTATCTTTGATGATCTCGGGTCCCAGACAACCTGGAAATGACATTGATGTTTTTTTAAGCCCATTGGTTGAAGAGTTGAAGATGTTATGGGAGGAAGGTGTTGATGTGTTTGATGGGTCCACAGGTGACTTATTCAAGTTGCGTGCAATGTTATTTTGTACAATTAATGACTTTCCAGCATATGGTAATTTGAGTGGCTATAGCACAAAGGGACATAAAGCTTGCCCGATATGTGAAGAAGACACATGTCACTATCAACTACAACATGGAAGGAAAACGAGTGTACCTTGGACACCGAAGATTTCTTCCTTCA